CATAATAATAATATTAAACACCCTGTCTGCTGACAGTCATCAACTCTTCTCCCTAATATCCTTGACCAGATGTACCCTGTAGAAACTCATAAGCATGCCTAAGCATTTAACAGTCTAACTAGACATCCTATCTCCACTAAACATTTCTAATACATAAAGTATCTATCCAATATCTATCTGACTAAAAATACCTAACACTAGTGAGCTCCTCTCCTTCCAAAAGGGTCAGCACATGCCAAAACAGCAAAGACACGTGGAACTTAGCACTGAACCAGGAAACTCCTCACAGTCTGGCACGTTTTCATTATTTAAAGGAGTCGTGGTAATGGGGCAATACAGTTTACAAGAATACTTAAATACTTTCCCCTAAAGTCATTCAAACAGAAACTTCAACACTGACACACAGTCACATGGTGACTAATTCACTATTATGTGCCACTGGCAGATTTAAAGCAGGTTTGATACAGTCGCTGCCTTTTCGCTCTAAAGCTACACTATTAGGCTACAGCAGGAAAACAGCACATCAATTTTGCTGTTAAAGCTTCTAGAGAGGTCTTATGATACAATTAACCACGTGCTGCTACTAGAGATCTCATTTGACTGCTGCCAGTCATGCACGTGCTTTCCATGCCTGCAGCACCAAGCCACGTGGGGCATGATTAACCACCAGGGTGTACCCAGACCTGCAGTGAGAGCTCAATTCATTACATTTATAACATTAACCATTCCATTAATTATACTGGCTGATGATATTTCTACCTCCACTTTTAACACCTTTTCACTGAGTCAATATTATTTAATCACAGAGTGTTTCCATTAACAGCAGCGCGTCTGTGTGACAGGTTAGCTAACATTTAGACTGGAGCTGAAACAGTCAATTAGATCAACTAAACATTTTACAGATGTAGCTTTTCCAGTGACATAATGTGCTGATATTCACGGTTTATCAATGAAAACTGTATTTTCTTGTTTTGGACTGTTGGTCCGACAAACCTGGCATCCGAGAACCGCACGTGTAACCTCTGGAAATTGTAAATGACTTTATTCACAGTTTGACATTTCATATACCAAACATTTGATTGATTGAGCTGAACAATAATCAACAGATAGCCTTGGAGAATGATGTTTTCTGAGGGCAGTGACCTTCAGGGAACGACACGAAGGCAGTGCCGGTGACAGTAAATGGTATAAACAGCATTTCTAGCCTCCAGATATACCTTACGCAGGCGTCTCACGCCAATAAGTTAGCGATAGTTAGCGAACTAACAGCCGCTCGCCTGGATAGACCATGCTTGAAGTTGGCGCAAAATTTAATTCCCCACAGCCAACAAAGGCGGCATGCTGCCGTTCAGTATAACGTAAACGGAACCCTTGTATTAATTTTAAAGGCATCCCAAACGAGCAACTGAGTCGTAAAAATTAACAAAACCTTAACACAGCCGAAACCCTATGAAACAAGTAACGGTATTTTATACGCAGCTTCGCCGTTAGCGGTTGGTTTTTGACTCGAACTGCCGCTAATAGTCAGAGATAAACCTCACGACTGAGTGAAAGTAACATTTGTTGGTTAGTAAACTGTTTTTATTAAAGAGGCACACCGAGATGTCCTACCTTATCATCACAGTCCGTGAAGGTTGTTCTCTGGAGCCGAGTGTCCTCAGACAGAAGAACCCCCCCGTAATCATTCTTACTTCAGAGCTCCTCGTAAAAATCGGTTCCACACGCATATTGACCTTTTCTCCACACCATATACAGTATTTGCTCCAGTCAGATTTTGAGACTAATTACACAAAATAGGCTATAATCAACAAAGTGATTATGGTGTCTTACTGTACATTTGAATTTAATAATACAACGCGTCCCCTGGGTACATTCACAAACTACAAAGTAGTGGGCCTATATAAAGTCATTGAAATTAGTCTTCCTTTAACAAGCTGCGACATTAAAATGTTATACACATTACAGAGTCAAAAATTATAATTCCACTATTTAATATACGGTATGTTACTCTAAAATAGGTCACTCTGCATAACTAGGTACTTTTAGTTTGGGTTCTGTATTTTGATAGTTATTTTTGTATTTTTAGTTGTGTAATCATTTGAATGCAGGGCGTTTACACTGTGGTATCCTCGCTTTTAGTTAAGTAAAATATATGAATACAACTGGCGATTACATTTAGGTGATTGAACTGCAGTGAACGGGTAAATGTAGTGTTTTTTTCCTCATAATTGTAGAATTTCCAATCGTC